ACCATAAACAAATAAAGTGAGAATTTTGGTAATAGGACCCACTTGTTGCATAAGTGTTTGTAGCAAGAGTCAAGTGCCATAAGGTAGCAAGTCTGAGAAAGCTTACCATCAACAACCTGCAAGAACACGAGAGATAATTACCAATTTACCATCAACAATCTTGCAATTCTGTGAAAAATTATTTACTGAAACATTACAGGGTACTCGCTAGCAAGATTAGGCTTGTAAAAGTCATAGACATGAGCCATGTGGCTTCCTCTCAATTTGCTTTCGAATACGATAGGAGCATTTGGTCCTATCAACATAGCAATAGCTGCTGCTCCTCCAGTAGGCCTCGCAGGTCCTTCTGCATAAACCTGAAACCATTCAAATACAAAACAGGTCAAAGATTTATGCAAAGGACTCTTAAGACATGAAAAGATGTTTCTATGTCGTTGTTATTACCGCGCTGTCAGTACAAACGACGAGGCCATAACGTCCGTCCCAAGAGTTGCTCTCAACCCAATTGACACAGTTTAGCAAAGCAGCGGTTCCTCCATAGCAAGCATTGGTTGAGTCAACACCTTCAACATCAGTGTTTCCACATTTCTGTTCATTTACAAAAAACAAAACAAACAATGTTTTCTTTTACTGTCTCTTGACACAAAGAAACTTGAGAGAGTCCCTCAGAAAGTGTAATGCAATACCTCAAAGAGTTGCATCAAGAAGGTTTTGATGGACTTGCTTTTGTCAATGACAGTCTCACTTCCTACTTCAAGGCGTCCGATTTGGTTCGGGTCAACCTTGTACTTCTCGAGAAGAGATGTCACCGCATTGAAACTAAGGAACAGATCATTCAGTCTTTGCAAGAGAACACATATATACGCAGAGACAAACAATGAGAACAAACAAACCTCATTGAGATAACATCTTCAAGCTCTGTGCAAAAAGCTAAGCAATCTTGGCCAAGTCCGATAGTGTATTTCCCTTTGCTTGCTCCATCATGAGCTTCCAACGCTTCCTATACAAGCAAAAACCAACACATTCACCAATCATAAGCACCGTAATCAGAAACCTGAAATCAAGAACTGAAAACAGAATGAAAAGAGAGAGATTTTTAACAGAATGTTGTAGATCACTTTAAGTCTTCTATCTACTGAAAGACAAGTACATGGAAAAGAAGAAAAAGTAATCTCAATCTTTAAAAGGAACACAAGATTGCAAAAAGTTTCAAACTTTTTTTTCGATTTAGACTTTATAAGAATCTCATGATCATGTACCTAATTACAATTTTTAGCTCGAATCAAATAGACAGTCTTTTATCAAATCAATCTCAATTATCATCACCAAATCTCAGACCTAGACGCAGAGATCTCCAGTTTTAGAGATTTAATCAGAATCCTGCTCTTATATATATAAAAAAAAATGAAAAACAATTAAAAACAACAACTTTTAGTATTTTCTGACTTCAGCGTGTACCAAACTCCGCCGCATTACAAAACCCAGAGAAACAAAAGTAACAAGCAAAAGTCTGTCTGAATATTTTATGAGACTTTGCCTGGATTGATTCTTTTCGACAAAATATCATTAAGGTTTGAAGATTTACGATATCAAACGTCAAAGGGCGAATTCAAAATGATATTTTTGAAATCATTGTGTTATTTTTGCTAAATAGACAGCGTTGGAAGCTCCGACAGAAACAGAGTATGAATGCAAGAAATAGATGAAATCGAAAAGATCAAAAACTTGGGGATTTTTCACCTGTTGAACACAGGTCGGAGGGAAATAGATGTCCATAGCCAAAATCCCAACGTTCTTCGCCATTGCCGAATGAAAATGAAAAAGCTTCTCCTTCAGAGAATTGAAATCGGAAGGTTCGATCTTTTGAGATAGAGAGAAGAGAAGAGAGAGAGAATTTTGAAGCTGTATAAAAAGAGAGATGATGAATCGGTTGAAAACAGAAAAGAAACTCAATTTTGTTTAATAAAACAAGTCCAGGAGAAATATTAGGGGATTTCACTTTCTTTTTATTTCCCTTAAAAACAAAATTTTAATTAGCTGCTGTTTTTGTTTTTGGTCAATTATTATTTTTAGTTTTATTTTCTTAAATCTATTTTTTTGTCAATGTCAAATTTTTAAGTTTGTTGATTTTATTCACAATTGCTATAAATTGCTCGATATTTAAATGTCTGTGATGGGACTTTTGTCAAAATTAAAATATTCATTGTTGTTGTGGGACACTTATTACATTTCAAACAAAAGTTTTTGAAATAAAAAAATATATACGTTTGAAAAATAATTACCTGGAAAATAAGAAAAATAAATTAAAAAAAAAAAGGTGTGTTTGGATGTGTGCGTGAGAACTGGGCAGAGTGTGTTTTCCGGAATCTGGACAACGCAGACTTCGTGAGTTAGCTCTGCCTCGTGTTTCCTCTCTTTCTTTCGTTTCTTTACCCTTTTAAATCTTTCTTATTTACTGCTTTGCCACTCACTAGTTTTGTGTACAGTGTACACCTACCCATTTTTGGTTCGAGTTTTTGATTCTCTTGGTTTGGTATGGTAGAGTAACTTAAGGATATAACTCGGCTTAAAACTTGGAGTTAGGTTCGGTTTACTTGGAATTTGGATTATCTTCGTGTAAGCGAAATGGATAATATTTTGTACCTATAAAATAATAACTTATAAATGGTCCCTTTGGAAAATTCCCTTTTTTTAATTCAACATGTGTAGAATATTATCGATTGTGTGGACTAAAAGTTACAACAAATTAAGGAATGGGTCTTTAGTCCGTTGGTGGTTCAGTAATCAGTAGCAACGACAAAACTGGTTGTCTGCATCGTTCATTGATGTCGTGCTTGTGGTAGCTAAGCTTACGTTATAATATATTCTTGAAAATTGTGATATGTTTCGTTTCTCGCAATTCTTATTCTTTTGCAAAACGATGCCTATAGTTGTGAACGGTAAACCTATACGAGAAACAACAACAACAACAACAACAACAACCATATAAGATACGTAACTTATACATGTGTTTTTTATAATATGGAGTAGATTTCAAAGGACCGTATTCCATAAATTAACTAATATGGGTAATTTAGTAACGTTGATTCTATCCCCTTTAAAGGAGGCCGAACCTTACATCTCTAGTTCCATCCACTTTATAGGGATGGTTCATGTTCCAAAATGGCAATCATATAACTAATATACACATTTGAGTTGCCAAGGATCTCATATTATTATACATGCAACAAATTAATCTATACTGTAAATCTGAAATCAAACTCTATTGACTACATTTGGTTTTTGCTCTACTAAATTTTGTTTTTTGTAAAAATTTAGATTGTAAACGTTCAGCATATTTGTAAATGTGTCGACTAAGTATGTCCCATTCGAAATTTGTAGCAAATAAAAAACGTGACAATTGACATTAACTGCTTATATTAACTCCGAACCAACTCAAGCAGACAAGCAGCATGAAAAAGTCATGGTTTATACATTCACTCACACTATCTAGCGACTTATTAACTCATTTATTTTTGATACGTAGGCATATCCTCTTAACGAATTTTGTTTTTAAGACTATAAAAGTGTTGATGCTCTTTGGTTATAAGATTATTAATACGTTGGTCGGATTTTATACAGCCTCACCCGCGAGGAGCTAGTAGCGCATGTTAAGTTATTAACATGGAAAAATCAGGTTGTTACCAAGACGAAACTCGACAAAAGATTACATAAAGACTAAAGAATATTGAAAGTTACCCCATCATATATTCTTTTTATGATTACAAATAAATTCTGATATAAATTATTTCCTTTCCATGAAATTAAAATAATCTATTTCATAGAATAATTAACTTTCCTTTTTAATTTCGCTAAAAGAGTATCCAAATGACACTTGTATACTTAATTTGCAAACAAGAAAAGGAATAATCTTTTATTTATTTTTATAATTAGAGGTGTTTACTAGATCAGACAGAACATGGTGGGATTGAATGAGTTTGGACTTTGAAAAATGTGAAACATTGTCGTTTATATAAAGCAAACAATCTCCCTGAACATTGGAATCTCCGTCACCGTCCGATTACGATTTATATGACCATCCCTTATCGTCCGATTAAACTACCAAAAATGCTGAAACATTATTATTAAAGGAATGTACTTATCTACGCAATTACAGATCGTCAGATCAGATGAGTCCGATTCCTATGGCGTCACGATTTTGTGGGACCCAGCTTGAATAACAAGGATCTATGGAATCATAAACTGGTGGTTTAACACGTGAGGTAGTAGGTAGGTTCGATACTACATCACTATCTATAATTATTGTATAATAAGTTCTTGATATTTAAAGATACTTCCTTCATTTCCAGTTAAATTTAGTTTGCACAAACTAAAAAAGGTATAAATTTATACCTATTTTATGGGACATCATCATCAAGTGTAAAGTATAAATCGTCGAACTATCATCTTTATGTGATTTTTCTATAGATATTTTGATGATTTTTTTTTCTTTATGGTAATTAATGTGATATCCACATTTTTTAAAAACATCATATAAAATGAAACGTATAGTAGTTCAGTTTTTTTACTGAAAATATCAATATTGTTGAAAAGATAATTATCCTCTATCAATATTATAATATTTACTTATAGATTAAGTTTTTTTACCCTCCTTGAAAGTTACCGACTTATGTAATAATCTAATGTTTTACTCTCTCTATAAATAGAGAGTCGATGTATTGTTTAAGACATAAGTTCAATACAAAAATATTCACTACTCTCTTCTCTCATATACAAAATCTCTCTCCTATCTCCTCACACGAAACCCTCTCTCCATCTCTCACGAAGACCTCTCTACCTCATCTCTCTCTCTCGTAATCCTCTCTCTCTCTCACTTCTTTTTTTATTAATCAAACATCCACTATATATAATATATAGTGGTACAGTTAGTTTATTTATAATCACGTTATCAGCACGAACTGCTCTTATATTATGTTTTATTGTTTATATGCTATGCCGGGATGGTAGGCTATGCCTTCTCCGAGCCGATTGTTATGGTAGCTTTGTCTCCACAATCGAAAAATCATTTCTTAAGCCGGGATGCTAGGTTGTACCTACTCCGAGCAAATGATCATATGGTAGACTATGTCACCTTAGATCATATAAGAGTTGATGGTAAACCTCCTCTTGGAGTAGAGGCTTTGCCTCTTCCTGAATATTTACTTTTCTGTAATTTACTTTTTCGCTATTTACTTTTCTGCCATCTAAATTTCTGCTAATTTATACTGTTATAATGCTAAATTTTTTTTTATTGCAAATTTGAATTTGAATTTATATTTAATGAACTGATCTATGATCTATGCAGATATCATGTCAAATTTGGCTAAGCTCGAAATTTCCGCCCTTGATATTTCTGGAAACAATTATATGACATGGGCAATAGGTGCAAAAATGCATCTAAAAGGAAATGGGCTTCTTGATGCCATTGACAAGTCGAAAGAGACGCCAGATGAGAAAAAGGCGAAAGCCATGATCTTTCTACTTCATCACATCCACGATGGTTTAAAAGATGAATACATCACTAAAGAAGATCCTGCGGATCTTTGGCAATCTTTGAAAGAAAGATTTGACCATCAAAAATATATAGATTTGCCCAAAGCCAAATACCAGTGGCTATATCTCCGGTTTCAGGACTATAAAAGTGTTGTTGAATATAATTCTGCCTTGTTCAGAATAATTTCCAAGATGGTGCTATGTGGAGAAAATGTGAGCGATTATGATATGATTGAAAAAACGCTCTCCACATTTCACCCTGGAAATATAGTCCTGCAACAACAATATCGGGCAAATGGCTATACTCGTTATTCAAAATTGATGGATGTTCTCCTTGTTGCAGAACAGAATAACGAGCTTGTGATGATGAACCATCAGACTCGTCCCACTGGAGCTGCTCCATTCCCAGAAGCGAATGTAGCATCGTCCAGCCAAAATAATGGACGAGGACGTGGACGTGGATATGGTCGAAACCGAGGTCGTGGCCGTGGCCGTGGACGTGGTCGGGGACAAGGAAAAGAGTACCGTCCCGACGAGTCCAACAATGAAAGGAATATAAAAGATCTCGAGCAAATGATTACGGCCGAGATTCTAAAAAGCAAAAAGAAAGTGTTTGCTACAGATGCGGCATGAAAAATCACTGGGAGCGTACTTGTCGTACACCCAGACACTTAGCCGATCTGTACCGGGAATCACAAAAAGCAAAGGAGAAAGAAAGTGAGACTAACTTCATCTCCAATGAACCCGGTCCTTCCTTTCACGGCCTAAACGATGATACTCATCTTGATGTTTCAGATTTTCTGGTTGACTCCGAAGAGATCAACGGAAAAACAGACGACTAAAAGGACATGATATACATAGTTATCTTCCTGAATAAGATAACCTAAAAGTTTGATCTTTTTGTTGTAAAATAGTTTTTAATGTGGTATTTTGTATCTTGTGATATAAGCTTTGTATTGTTTAATACTTATTAATGCATCTTTGTTAAATCCAGAAATGACGAAATTTGAGACTCGTGATGGAGATATGTGTCTTGCAGACAGTGCTACAACGCACACAATACTCAAAGATAAAAGATATTTCTCCGGTCTCAAAATTAAAGATTCCGTTGAAAGCGTGAATACCATTTCTGGTGGTGCAAAAATAATATTGGGCTCTGGAAGAGCCAATTTTTCAATGCCAAGGGGAACAAAGTTTGAAATAAATGATGCATTATATTCCCCGAAGTCTTATAGAAACTTATTGAGTTTCAAAGATATCCGTAAAAATGGATATCACATAGAGACTATAAATAAGAATGGCATTGAAATCCTTTGCATCAAATCGGAGGGACAAATATTGGAAGAGTTGAAAATGATGTCCTCCGGATTATATTGCACAAATATTACTCTGACTGAATCATATGTTACAGTAAACCCGAAGTTTACTAGTACATTCAAAATCTGGCATGAAAGGCTAGGGCATCCAGGTTCAGTCATGATGAGAAAAATTGTGCAAAACTCAAATGGCCATCCGTTGAAATACGGGAAAATTTTAGAAACGGGCGAGTTCATATGTAATGCATGTTCTCAAGGAAAACTCATAACTCGGCCTTCACCAGCGAAAGTTGGAAATGAATCCCCTGTGTTCTTAGAGAGAATACACGGTGATATATGTGGGCCTATTCACCCACCATGCGGACCGTTTCAATACTTTATGGTATTAATTGACGCATCAAGTAGATGGTCACATGTGTGTCTTTTGACAACACGAAATACGGCTTTCGCAAGATTCATTGCCCAAATAATCAGGTTGAGAGCACAGTTCCCTGATTATACTATTAAGAAAGTGAGATTAGATAACGCTGGTGAATTCACTTCACAGGCCTTTAATGACTATTGCATGTCATTGGGAATCGATGTTGAGCATCCGGTTCCACATGTCCATACACAAAATGGCATGGCTGAGTCTTTGATTAAACGGTTGCAACTGATTGCAAGACCGTTAATAATGAGAACAAAACTCCCAATTTCATATGGGGTCATGCTATTTTGCATGCTGCAGCGTTGCTCCAAATACGACCAAGTGCTTATAATATATATTCCCCATTGCAATTGGCATCTGGTCAGGAGCCAAACGTATCCCATCTCCGTGTTTTTGGTTGTGCGGTTTATGTTCCGATAGCACCGCCACAAAGAACAAAAATGGGGCCACAAAGGAGATTGGGAATATACGTTGGGTATACGTCACCGAGTATTATTCGGTATCTTGAACCTCAAACTGGTGATATGTTTACGGCACGTTTTGCCGATTGCCATTTTAATGAAGATGAATTTCCAGCGTTAGGGGGAGGAATTAAAGAGGTTCCAAAAGACCTCACATGGTGTACACCGAATTTGTTACACTTTGATCCCCCGACAAAACAACGCGAATTGGAAGTTCAGAAAATTATACATTTACAAAATATGGCAAATCAATTACCAGATTCGTTCACAGATACAAAAAGAGTGACGAAATCATATATACCCGCTGCAAACGTTCCATCAAAGATAGATGTTCTAAGGAACAAAATGATGGAAGCATAGCAAATGCACCCAAAGTCCAATTAAAGAGGGGGAGGCCGATGGGCTCTAAAGATAAAAATCCCCGAAAGAAAAAGAATTTGGGAGAAAAGGTTCAAGAAGAACCTTGTAAAGAAATATGTCTAGAAGACATAAACAAACTGGTTTTTGAAGAACCAGAGAAAGAGATTCGTCCAGAAGACGAACATGATACAGAAAAATTTGAGATTTCCATCAACTTCGCCCAAAATGGAAAAGTATGGACAAGAAATGAAATAGAAGATGATGATGGAATATTCTCTTTTTCTGTATACAAAGAATTGATCATGAAAGTGATGATCCAGATCCAGAAACAATATCAGAGTGTCTGAAAAGACCTGATTGGGAGAAATGGAAAATGGCCATCCAAGCTGAATTACTCTCCCTCAATAAAAGAAGTGTTTTTGGACCTATTGTCACAACTCCTGAGAATACAAAACCCGTCGGGCACAAATGGGTTTTTGTAAGAAAAAGAAATGAGAAAAATGAGGTCACAAGATATAAAGCCCGACTTGTGGCTCAAGGTTTTTCTCAAAGACCGGGAATTGATTATGAAGAAACATATTCCCCAGTAATGGATGCCATAACATTCAGATTTTTGATGAGCTTAGCAGCGTCTCAAAATCTTGAAATGTATCTCATGGATGTTGTGACAGCATATCTATATGGATCTCTTGAAAATGAGATATATATGAAAATCCCAGAAGGATTAAAAATGCCTGAGGATTTGAAATCAAAGGCTAAGGAGATCTGTTCGGTCAGATTACAGCGATCACTTTATGGACTAAAACAGTCCGGACGCATGTGGTATAATCGCTTAAGTGAATATTTGTTGAGTAAAGATTACGTCAACAATGCGATATGCCCTTGCGTATTCATTAAGAAATCCTCTTCAGGATTTGTGATTATTGCTGTATATGTAGATGACCTGAACATGATTGGAACTCAAAAGGAAATTGATGATGCAAGAACTCATATGAAAGAAGAGTTTGAAATGAAAGATCTTGGAAAGACAAAGTTTTGTCTTGGGCTCCAGATAGAGCATTTCCAAGATGGTATATTTGTGCATCAGTCAAATTACACTAAAAGAGTGTTAAAACGCTTTTATATGGACAAAGCAACTCCTTTGAGTACTCCAATGGTTAATAGATCTCTTGATGTTGAAAAGGATCCATTCCGTCCTTGTGAGGATAACGAGGAAGTGTTAGGTCCTGAAGTACCTTACATGAGCGCTATTGGTGGACTAATGTATCTTGCAAATTGCACTAGACCAGATATAGCATTCGCTACTAATCTGCTTGCAAGATATAGTTCGTCCCCTACGCGCAGACATTGGAATGGAATAAAACATATTTTTCGTTATCTTCAAGGATCAATTGATTTAGGATTATTTTATCCTAAGAACTCAAAATGTGTTTTAGTTGGTTTTGCTGATGCAGGATATCTATCAGATCCACACAAAGCTAGATCACAAACAGGTTATGTTTTCACAATTGGTGGAACTGCGGTCTCCTGGCGTTCGCAAAAGCAAACTTTGGTTGCAACGTCTTCAAATTATGCAGAAACTATTGCTCTCCATGAAGCATGTAGAGAGTGTGTGGCTCCGGTCTATGACTCATCACATACAAGAATCAAGTGGAATAGTTACAGAGAAAGAGCCAACAAAAATATTTGAAGACAATTCTGCATGTGTCACACAACTCAAAGAAGGTTATATCAAGAGTGACAGAACGAAGCATATTCCTCCAAGATTTTTCTCATACACTCAAGAACTCCAGAAAAATCAAGAAGTGGACATCGAGTATATTCGTTCAAGTGACAATGCAGCCGATCTTTTTACAAAGCGCTTCCTACTACAGTGTTCAAGAAGCATGTTCACAGTATCGGAATGCGTCGTCTACAAAATTTGTGAAAAGAAAAGATTCTATCTTTTCCAGGGGGAGATTATGCTGCGGTACTCTTTTTCCTAAGTCATAGTTTTTATCCCATTGGGTTTTTCTATGACATAGGTTTTTTAACGAGACCGTACATAATACAGACGGATAATTAAGGGGAGTGTTAGAAAGGATAATTATCCTCTATCAATATTATAATATTTACTTATAGTTAAGTTTTCTTCACCGCTCTTAATTACCGACTTATGTAATATCTAATTTTTACTCTCTCTATAAATAGAGATCGATGTATTGTTTAAGACATAAGTTCAATACAAAAATATTCACTACTCTCTTCTCTCACATACAAAACCTCTCTCTCCTATCCCCCTCATACAGAAACCCTCTCTCCATCTCTCCACGAAGAAAACCTCTCTACCTCATCTCCCTCTCTCTTCGTAATCCTCTCTACTGCAGCTTCTTCTTTTATTAAATACAAACATCCACTATACATAATAAATAGTGGTACAACTTCAATTTATTTATAATAAATATACATTTGTTAAAAAAAAAACCAAAATGTTATACACCACTTATGATAAAACCAAAATGCACACAACAAAAACCAAAATGTTATACACCACTTATGATAAAATCACAATGCACACTATGATCAATGTATACTCCACTTATACGTTTAGTTTAGTTTTTGTACTGAAAAATTCAATATTTTTGTGAAACAAAAACCAAAATGATAAAACCAAAATGCACACTATGATCAATTTACAGCTCGGGGAATGAAGAAAAAAAAGCACAATTCGACCCTAAAGGCACACTTTCTTTCTGATCACACTCACAGAGGTTTCTCAAAGTGGAAGAAAACAAAAGAACAAATGTTGACACTACAAAGTAAGTTTCAGATGGTGAGATTTTCTTGGAGAGCAAGAAACGAGCCTATGATCTTGCCACCAAGATCTGGGAATGTCTCACATCCAGGAAGAGAACTCACTTTGCCTGTTCTATCAACTTGTACTGGATACTTAAGAAGATGACCTTGCATCTCTGTGACCTCATCTGCTGCATACTGTCTCCAATTGAGCTCACTCAATTGCCTAACTCGTCTCACGCATTCCATGTTCTCTGGCTCTTCGAAACCTTGCTCTAAAAACCCTAGATGCTC